ACAGTGGAAGGATTAGGGAGGAAAAGGAAATAATGTAGTACTGGGAATAAAAGTCAGGTGGGCTTAAACTTCCCCAAGCCCATATTGATGTTCACCCTGGATCATTGTTAAATCCTTTTGACAGAAGATTAAGTATAGGTAGTACATGGAGCACAATAGAAAGCTAAATTCTAAATCAACACATTATGGATCAGGACAGACATGTGCAAAGTCACTAGGATCTGAGGCAAGTAAGGCTTAACTGTAACCTGACAGAAGGAATTAAAATAGCTAAAGAAAGAATTTGTCAATCAGAAGGAAGATTATCCGTTAGCAATACAAGTACAGACAAAATGACAGTTGGAAAGTGGAAATTTGAGACTTTCCAAGTGTTTTATTTGGACTTGGATAGTTCAATGTTTTCATCCAAGAATGTAACAAATTTGAACAATTTGATGTATAATAATCAGCTATTTTTAAAAAATATCAATATGTTAACATTCATTAGTGCAATACACATAGTTTGGATACATAACTAAACTGTAGTCTAAATGTAATTTCAGAGTACAAACTATATCATATCCACTAGTACAGTTCCAATTATGCAGTTAATTTGACTCTTTTCAGGGACTAAGTTCTGAAGTCATTGCTATAGGGCTCTTTCCAGTTCAAGCCCTAGTTAAATCTCTATGTTCTACTTAGTGGTTTTGAGGTTCAAGAAGATAACAGTTTTTTTCTTTGTCCTTTTTACCTCTTTTGTGTTTTATGGACATAAATTTTTCTTCCAGACTGTTTTTCTTTTCTCTTAATTAATATTTTCAGTATTCTTTTTGATCTTTCTACCAATTCCTATGTAAGAATTTTATAAATTTATCTCCCTGTTTATGTCAATTGATGGTAATCCTACCTTTGGTTTTCTAAAAGCAGCTCATAAAGGGAATGAGATACCATTCTTATACCTCCTAGTCCCCAAACCCACCCCAAACTCCCAGCTCAGAGAGGAGAACCCCTTGAATGCCATGGAGGGTAAAGGTGAGCAAAGTGTGTTTGCTTCATGAACTCTTTTGTTGAGAGTCTTTACATCTATATTCATGGCATTTTTCTTTTTTTGTTCCTTCTTTGTCTGGTTTTGGCATCAAGGTGACCTTTCTGTAGGCTATCACTGCTTGGTCTGGTTTCCAATGGGGGCCACTCCCCAACTTTCTGTTTTCCATGTATTCGTGGTCTACGCCAAAAGAATTCTCAGAAAGGCTTCTTCCAGTAGAAGTTGCTGCGTCTCTCCTTACCTCTCCACAGGAATAAGCACATGGATAGGGTGATTTTCAGGGATAGTCCACTAAAGCTTTCAATATGGGTTTAATGGGTTCACACTCTGTGTGTGTGTGTATGTGTGTGTCTAGGGGTGGTATGGGAGGAGCTAATCAATACCCTTTTTTCACCAAGATACTCCTCAGTACAGGTCTTCATGTCAGCTCAGCACCAGATACTTCCGTGTGTCAGCCACCCTCAGCAGTTGTGACAAGATGTAGGGCCTCTCCCAAAATTCAGGTCATATCCTTCAACTTTAGGGGTAATTCTCTTCTGTGTCTTCCCTTAACTGGCGTTAGGGAAGGAGCACTATTCAAAAGCTGAGGGATAGAGAAATGAAGAACGAATAGTTGCTCCTTCACAAACTTTGCTTTGCTATGAAGGCCATTAGCTCTCTTAATATAGCCAAGGAAGGGTTTTGTGGGATGCCTTCTTTTATTAAACCCTTTGGGATTGATGGCTTTTTATGGTCATTTCTTTGAATTTAAAATGGAACAGAGTCCACAGAAATCCTGGTACCTTTCCATGAGTTGCTGGTAGGGGATAGAGTAAGTGCATTCAACAATAACAAGGGAACAGGAAAGGACTATCATTGGTTTTTTACGTCCTCACTGAACACATTAGAATGTGCAGTAACTTAGGGTAAGAAGGACTGTGTGAATTTACAAGAACCATTTCTGTTTCTAAATTATTTATGCTTGAAATGTTTATAAAGGAGCATGCATTCCCTTTGTAATGATACACAATCTCCTGGTCACAGCTTTTTGTGAGCAGAGCGGCACCTGTGAATGCTCATGCAGAGTGGCTGTGTGTATTCTAGGGGTTAAGACTGTCACCACCTTGGTGGTGAACAAGAAGGCTCAGCTGGTGGTGATTGAACATGACCTGGATCCCATTGAGCTGGTTGTCTTCCTGCCTGCTCCATGGAAGATGGGGGTCCCTTACTGCATTAACAAGGGGAAGGCCGGGCTGGGGCATCTAGTTCACAGGAAGACCTGCACCACTGTTGCCTTCACACAAGTTAACTCGGGGACAATGGAGCTCTGGCTAAGCTGGTGGAAGCTATCAGGACCAATAACAACAGCAGATATGATGAGATCTGTCATCACTGGGGAGGCAACGTCCTGGGTCTGAAATCTGTAGCTTGCTTTGCCAAGCTGGAAAAGGCAAAGGCTAAAGAACTTGCCACTAAACTGGGCTAAATGTACACTGTTGTTTTCTGTACATAAAAATAATAAAAGTTATCCTTCAAAAAAACCCAATAACGATATTATTTTTAACAAATTCTGGTCTGATTCAGAGGCTTTTTAGCTTTAAGGACTTCATTCAAGAGAATGTGCTCAGTACTTGCTGGTCTGGTCTCTATGTTAAATAACCAGTACATCCTGGCTAGACTTAATGGAGAGAGGGTTGATATGCATGCCCCTTTACCTGCCTCAATGCCTTTTTCTTCATCCTCTTTCAATTTTGCTGATTAAAACTGCTACCCTCCTTGTAACTAGTCACTCTTATCAGCAACACAGAGATGTAAGGTTTTTCCAGCCTGAAAATAAAGCCACTGCTCAGTACTACTCCAACACTTTGGAGGTCAGAGGCAGCAAAGGGAATAAACCAATTAATTAAATGAGCTTAATTCTATAGCGGGCACATCAGGTATTAAGAAGTTTCAGTCCAGACTCAGTAAAAGCTTCAATTTCACATATAATTTAAAGTAGTGTGGAAGATTTTTGTCTTTAATTTTTTGTCTCCTTCCTAATTATGTGCAGAATTAAAAAGGGATTCAAGAAGGATTTATTCTATAACTCTCGGACCCCTCGCTAAATAAAATTTCAATAAATGAATTAGAGAGAGGAGAAGAGAAACTGATGAAGATATTTCCTTAATGAGAACTATGGCTAATTTGTGGAATCCCACCCTTAACCTCAACGAGTGGTCTGTGTGTTGGGGGGAGGGTTGGACTGGGATGTTACCCTCTTACCCTCTTAACCCTAGCCTAGTAAGGGAAGTCTCAAGGGAGCAACTTGGAGAATTTGAAATATGGCAGTTGAAATCAAGAGACCTAGAATGCTGGTTCTCTGAGTCCGGCCTCAGAGAACTATAGTCAACTGTGGAGTCGGGGCTGACTCCCTTGGGGATATCAAAGAAGGGCTGATTCCTTTGATGGTTGAATTAGGAGAATGCTGCTACATTGGGATAGGCCTGTGCTCCCAAATTTGTTAGTGCATGGTATGTATGATCATTTCCTATAAAAGGGATTTGGGTTATATGCAGGGAATGGGGAAGGACTTGCCTGGAGTTGTCTTAGACCTCCCCTCCAAGCCAAGTGGGCTTCTAGAAGAGGATCAGAAAACTTCAGCAGGAAGATGCTTAAAGTGCCAGCAAATTAGAAAGTCATTTGGGCAGCTAGTAAAGTTTTATCCAGAGTCAGCCATTCCTGCAACCTGGTGAGGAGTTCTGCTAATCAGACTGTCCATTCTGCCTTGGGCACTATGGACAGTATGCCCTGGGAGGAATTCTAAGTAAATACCTGGAATAGAGATGTCTCTACTCCTTTTAAGGAAACATGTAAGAGAGAAGTCTCCAGAGATGTGAATGTATTACAGGAGAAAAAGCTAAGTTCAAACATCTGCAAGTTTAGAGGGCTTAAAGTCAGCTTATGATGGTACCAGTTCACATTAAAACTATATGCTCCCCTGTTCTCTTCTTCCCTCCTTATTTTGTCCTGGCAAGGAGGACTATCCACCACCCCCTATCCCTCTTCCCTTCAATAGGCTTCTAGCCAGAAGTAGGTCCTAGGTAGGGGATAACTTATAATCAAATAATAAATTAGAAAGACATAGTGGTATTCATTCATAGAATTGTGTTTTGACATCACAAGCTATGCTTGTTTAGTTTGGTGGTTAAATATGCACCCATACCCCAGTGAACCTAGGTAAACCATCCCAAGAATTCTCTCCTGCTTCACTAGGAGCTTATGGCTGTGTCTGTTTTTTCACTTATGCATATTATAAGAGCCTCCAATTTCATTATGAATATGTTCACGAACTCAGATACCTTTAGTGTATCAAGCCATCATAGAAATTCACAGGCATGCACAGATCTAAATAGAAAGGCCATAACATCATGGGATAAGTTAGTGCCCAGCCAACCAGTCATCCCGGTTGGGCACCGTTGCCAAAAATTATAAAGTCTTTTGGGCAGCTGATAAACTTTCATTCAGAGTCAACCATTCCTGCAACCTGATGAGGAGTTCTGGAAATCACACTGCCCACTGCCTTGGACACTATGGACAAACTTCGTTTTGGGGGAATAAATGGAAACTCTTAAATTTGGCTTGGATCTTCAGGGCCACCTAGAACATCCTTTGTGGAGTTGCCAAGCTTCTCCAGTCAATCAGCTTATGCTGAGTCAACTATTTAAAAAAAGTTGCGTTGCTGTGAGACAACACCATACTGCTCGGCCCTCGCATCTCAGCGGGCGCGGGAATCTGGCAGCGTCGTGACGTCATGACGTCCCAGACGCGCCCCGTCGCTGAGACGACCTCGTCGCCCCGCCCCCGCCCAGCTCGTCGCTCGTGGGTCGAGTCTCCGTGGCAACCACTTGCTCCGCCCCCTCCGCCCCTTTAACCTTTAGGGTGTGCGGGTGCGGCTTCCCTCGCCCTCTCCCCTCTTTCCCCCTCCCCTCCCCCGGGTCCATCCGGACCGGAAGCGAAGATGGCGGTGGTGGCTGCAGGCGCGGCTTCGGCGGATCTGGTGATCGGCTGGTGCATATTCGGCCTCTTACTACTGGTAGGGGAGGCGCTTGGAGTTTTCCCAGTGTTTGGACTGGTGGGAGGAGGGAGGGACCGGTCCTGTAGCTGGCCTCTCCGGGTCCGGGAGACCCTCCCCGCCCCGCCTTGTACTGTCAGGGGCTCCTCTGCGTCCCAGGAGAGGGCGAAGGCGAGGGCGGCGCTTGGGAGGTGGGGGGCACTGATTTCCGGCCGCTTTTGCTTTCCTTTCACTGATGACTTCTAATGTTGCTGGTTTCCTTTTTCACAACTCTTGTCCTCATCCCCGACTTGGGCGCCAGGGACGGTGGGGTTTGGGGGCAGAAGAGACCCTCGGGGTTGAGAACAGTATGGTGGCCCTTGGTTCCCTGTAAAACGGGAGCACACGGTGTAGGGAAGCAGCGCCGAATCTTTGCAAGTTCAATAGGCGCTGGCGTCGTTTGACTTGTCTGCTTCTCTGAGATATGTTTTTTCCTATGTTCCCTACCCTTCGGGGTTAGTGAGTCTTGAGTCTTCTGTACCCATTGTGCGATTCTGCCTTGGTGACGTGAGTTGCTCGTTCTAAGTGTTACATTCCTTTCCAATCTTTTGACAGGTGTAGAAACGTGTGTAGGGCAGAGCTGTATCCCTTTTCATTGCCAGTATCAAGGTATTACTACCACCGGCTTGACCCCTGGTGTTTTCTTTTCCAGCCATCTTACTTCTGCTTACTCAATGAGAAAAACGTAGATTGTAAATGGCCCAAAGTGGCCTGGTTATTACTTCCTTACCCCATATTAAAACTCTTGGTTTATTTTATTTACACCCCTCCTCATTCTCAGAATCCTCTCTTGCCTCATTATTTTTATCCCGTTCTGTTGTTACCTCCTGTTCCAAAGTATTTTGATCTTTAGCATACCAAACAAAATCCTTCAGTATGGAAATCAGGCTTGTTTGATTTTAATTTAATTATCAAAGTCCACTAGGGTGTCTTATGTAGTGTGTTCTAGTAAATTTTTGTAGCAGAGACTCTGCAAAATAATAATAAAAGGTTTTGTGAAAATTTAAGAAAAGGCTTCTCTTACTGCCTTCACTCTCAAAGATAAAAAACACCGGCTTTACATTGGAACATGGTTTACTCCTTTCATGGCTGAAATGGAAACCCCAAAGATTGACTGTGGTCTCCAGACCTCTCCAGTCCATACTCGGAGAGTTCCCTGGCTTTTCCAGTTTGTCAGATACAGTTTATTTAGAAGAAAACAAGCAAGCATGTAACCAGTACCAAAGTCTAGTGGGGCTCTCTTGGCAGTTATTGATAAGCATCTAAAGTACAGGGGTTGTGCTGTGAATTGTAGGAGGATGCAAAGGAAACAAAACGTGGCCTCTAAAGAGGGTCTGAAGATAGGTGGGAAAACTAAAATTCTTGAAACATGTATTTTAAGTACTGAAAGCCACAGTATGATTTTACAAATGAAGTAGGACTTCAGAGAATAGAGACCAATATTAAAAGAAAGTGAGAATTGCAGTAGACTTTAGATAGATGAGGAAGGAAAGCCATATAAGTTGGTAATATTACAGCAGGAACAAGTGAAATGAGAAGGGGATTAGGAGTTTGAAACTTGGATGTTGGAGTGGAAAAAACATTAGTAATAAGGACCATTGTTTAAATTTCTGCAAATCTCCTTAATTCCTGGTTTATTAGAAGAGAGCTGGATTTTCATATCTACTTCTACATTCAGTCTTTTGGGATATGTTATTTTGGTTTAAGTATATGAAGAAAATCCAGTTTCAATGATATATAATTGGAAGCGGAAGCATACTCTTTTACAGATAAGCTGTGGAAGCTTATGAAACTTGTGGAAGCTTTTGAAAGATTAGTTGCTAAAGGGATCTGAAACCCTATCAATGAATTTTTTGTTCTCTGTAACATTAAAATCTATTAGTCCATTTTGCACTTTGTATCTTTTACCCATACATGGTTTTACCATGCATTGGTCATTTAGAAAATATTGATTCACTGAGTTATGCACATCTTTCAAATATGGGTATATTTTATTACACAGTATCAAAATATCACATTCGTTAAATCACCTTCGATTTTGTCAGAAATCATCTCCAAAAACTCTAAGTACTGAGAAATTGTCAGGGTCATAGTTGTAGATACAAGTTTTTCAAAATTCGAATTTTCATTTGAAAACTTGAATTTTGTCATTGGTAACAAATAGTGTCAGTTTTTCTTGAAGTGATATGTTCCCTTTGTTCATTTGACAAAATCTGCCAAATACTCAAGTCTTAGTTTGTCAATTCTTTCAAGTAAAAGTAGTGTTCCTTAAAAAGAGTGGCTGGGTTGGTGCTTTTTCAAGGTGCTTATCCTGGAGACAGCCATCATGCCTTGGTATGCAGCAGAAGGACTTTATGCAGGCTTCATATTTTACCCCACAAAGTATTAAAAAGACTCAAGGGTTGAAGTTTAATAAAATTTTTACTGCTTTGTCAAGCACAATCTTAAGTTGATCTTTTTTTGAGTGTGTGGTGGTGAAAAATGAAATGACTACTGGAGCAGTTTGGTGCCATTGTCTTGATTCATGCTAATACATCAGTAGTTTTACCCACCATAGCTTGAGTACAAATGTCAGCACAATGAAAAAAGGCAGATGACATCTTAGTATTATGAGAATAGTTTTCAACTTTTGAATTGCCAGTAAGGGTTCTGGGACTACCAGGGGTCTGGGGACTTTACACTTTGAGAACTGCTGCCAACCAACTGCTAAAGAATCAGAATGTGAATGTTGCCTACTTTTGTGATGTTGGGTACACAGAATGGACTTCAGTTTCTTCCCCACATAAGGAATGGTTAGATTTGGTCCCTTATGCCTATAATCTTTCTATTAATATGTTTACTATATCAAATCTAAACTAGCTCGAAGGTTACACCACCTTTAAATTGTATTTCCCATTAATATAGGAGCCAGTCTCCATTTGGTAAAGCAGGTTTATTTCAAAAACTCCTTAAAGTGAGCAATATTTGGGAACTTGTTAGAAATACAAAATTTATGACCCCAGCCTCACTGAATCAGAATCTGCAGTTTAACAAGATCCCAGGCAGTATCTATGCTCATTAAGTTTAATACACATACACCTATTCTCATTCCTTCCTCTGCACTAATGGTTATCAATCTTGGCCACTCATTAAAACCACCTGGCGAGTTTTAAAAATCCCAATGTCCAGACCAATTAGAATCTCTTTG